TAGTGGTCAAAGTGTGATCTTGAAGATTGCCAAGTCAAATTGCGCCTTATCATTTGGGACGGAGTACTTGGTTCTACACCACCAACAACAACAACAACAACAACAAAGCCTTTAAGTCCCAAACAAGCCTTTAAGTACTTGGTTCTACACCATTTAAAAAAAAAAAATCTTTGCAATTTTTCTAGGCCAATCTGTCTTACTTGCTTTGCTATATCATATTACAAAATGTCTTGCATGAAGGCTAAAAATAGTTTGCATATTTGCAACATCCACTGGTCTTACTGGCCTTGCCTAATCGTATTATCATGTTTGTCATACTCCATTCCAAACCGTAAGTCGTTTTGGCTTTTCTATATACATAGTAGTATGTATCTAGACATAATGTATATCTAGGTGCATAGCAAAAGCTACGTATCTAGAAAAGCCAAAATAACTTGGAATGGAGGGATTAGCTGATAGATGTTTGTATTTTGCAATATCAACTGGTCTTGCATCTACATCAAAGATACTGCTGGTACAGTAGATGTATACTACCACTCAAGCCTGCATCAAGCTGAGTTACATCACTATTTTGCTTGTAGATGCAATTGGTTTTTGAGGGTGGTGACACGGATGGACACCATACAAGTGGCAATGTTTTGGCTTCGAAATGGTCGATGCTGAAGATGACCTAGATTAAAATTATTCTAGATTTATTTTCTTTTGCACCATTGCTCTTCACAGCGCCTGCATGGGGGCCTCTTGTTTTGGCAAAGCTGTACTGATATCCCTAGCCCAAGAATCAGAAGCCTGCTGAAGTTTTGCGATTATATAACTCGTCTGTGCTTGTATTGTGGTGCACTTGGAATGATGTGAATGTTACAGCGAATGTCCTTCACCGTGATGTCTCTGGGAAATGTACTAACATGTTGGGCTGACGAGCTGTGGCATGGTCAGTCCAAAGTTTGTTATCAGCATTGACGTTTTTCACACATGGCTGAGAATAACCAGGCTGTATGGTCGAGCTGGACATATGGCCCTAAGCGTCACCTGAGCATTTGATCACAAGAGCTGACTGCCACAAACTGTCGCTACAGTAAGATTATGACAAGCATCATCAGGCCAAACAGGATCGCACGGTCAGTGCAACAACAGGAGCCTTGAGTCCCTAACTATGGGCGTTGAGACAAAAACCCACTGATCTACTCAGGGAATGTTCGGCTGTCATTATAAGCCGGTTTATAAGCTATGATACAGTGTTTTTCTCTTCCAACAAATTAGCCGTACAAAAGCACAAGCGGTTTTACGAGGAGCCATTTAAAATTTTCCCAAATGTAGGAGTTATTTAAAATTTTCCCTTGGCCTTGATTCTTGGGTCTCTTTCAGCCCTCCATTTTTCTGTTTTGCTCGTTTCCCTCCCATTCTCGCTCATGTCGGATCTTTGCTTGTGCTCTCCCACCTAAGCGCTCTCCATTGCACAGCTGGCCTCATGTGAACTGGCCTATTCTTTCCCTGTTGGCTAAGCCCTTTTGGTAGAGCTCCTGTCTATGCCGACTCCTGCATTATAGCGGAACTGTAGTCGGAGCAGGGGGACAAAAAAAATTGGCTCCACCAACTCTATAGGAGAGACGGAGAAAAAGAGCTCATGTGAACAGTGCTATATAAATAATAGCAACGTCAGATAAGCTAGGAGCTGATGGAAGCTCTACCAAATGGGGCCTAAACTTAGGCTCCTGACCTTAGCCGCTCTCTTGGTTGGGCTTCGTCCTTCCCGTAACCTCCATCGTCGTGGCCTCCCTCCGCTTGAACTTCGCTCTCATCGGTCAACGCCATTGCTGTCGTCTCCTTGGTGGCAGACCTACCTGAGCTCCACCTCCTCACTAGATCTCTACCCAAGCTTCGCCCTCCTATCGCCTCCATCGTCTCACTGTAGTTGCGTCCTCCTCGGTGGCGGAATCACTTGTCCTTGGCGCCATCTTGCCTGATGTTAGCCTCCCCATCGCCTCCTCTGCCTGCCCACCTCTAACTCCCCGACCACCTCCTACCAGAGTTCGGCCTCTTCCTCAAGCAGGTGAGCATGTGACACACCAGCGCCCCCATCTTGCATACGTTAGCAGGCATGCGCCACCACTAGCCCCTACTGCCTCTTGAGTGCGCCGCCATTGCCTCTTGTCTTTCTTTTCGAGTAGTGTGGCAACTTTGGCAGGTGTGCGCCGTCGTTGGACCCTCTACTCTCCTATGTGTTTTGATAAAAAAAATGATGAAACTTGCTGGGCATCCGGGGAAACTGGGCACATGTTTATGCAAAAATGATGAAATTTGATATGCTCTTAGGACATTGGCATGCGCAATTATGTTTAATTCTAATTTTGGTTGATGCATTTGGGTTGCACAATGACGAACTACTCTTTTCAACCGAGATAATTGGATTGTGCAATGATGAACTACTGTTTTTTATTTATGCTGACTATATTGTTCTTATAGATAGCATACAAGGCTCTCCACCATGGACCATCGTCAATCCCAGGGTGCGGCCTGGTGTGGAAGGCTTAGGCACCGTTGTGCATCAAGATCTTCCTCTGGCTAGTGCTATGGAGAAAACACTGGACGTCGGACCACAGGCAACGGCATGGTCTAAAAGCGGCAGAGCTCTGCTACTTGTGCGACCAGGAACTGGAGACAATCGACCACCTAGTTGCATCATGCTCTTTCTCACGGCAGATCTGGTGGGGCATTCTCTCAACACATGCCACATGGAGTCGCCGGGCAGATGGTCCTTGACTGGTGGAAGGCTTGGCCTGCGATCTAGGTTGGAAACAGAAGGCGTGGAGCCGACTCCCTGTTCACCCTGGTAGCTTGGAATGGGAGATGTTTCCGAGGCACGACGACATAGCCACATTGCACGCTCGCTCGAATCAGGAATGAGGTAGACTAGTGGGTCCAATCTAGGTTGTTTGTTATTACACGAGGCCTTGTTTAGATTGCTTCAAAGTTAAGTTTTTTCACTCTCTCTCGATCGATCAGGGAACATGCATGCAGGTAGACTATAGATAAAAAAATAACTAATTACAAGCTTTGATTGCTTCCTTTTGAATCTAGATTGGACAATAATTGTTTGTTATTTTTTCTAACTCTTGCAATCTAAACAAGGCCCAAGTAATAGACCTAAGATGCTAAGTACACTAGGGCGGCTCGGTCGTCATCCTAACCCCTGTAGGGTGCTCGACGAGCATGTCGTTGTAGCTTCAAACCTCTTCTACCTTAAATGAATGATACGCAAACCTATTATGTATTAGAAAAAAAAATCGATGATATTTTAATAGAGTTTTCTATTGAAATGCGCAAACCTTAAATGAAATTTCTAGTATATTTTGAATCTTACTAGATACTTAACATAACGGTAATGATAGGATGCGGGTGTCCGTCCCTCTAGTCGTCCCGCACCCGTACTTCGCTAGCTGCTTCAGAGCGCTCTGCACTCCGCCTCTATATCTCCACAGAAAAAGACAAAGCCGCTCATCTTCTCAAGGTAGCTGCGCAGGGCCGCTCACCCGCCCGCCGCGGCCTTCTCCAGCGCCGCGCGCCACATCTGCGCCCCATCCTCATGGTTGCTCCACGTTCCGCGCCATCATCTCGCGCGCGCCCCCCATCCACCTCGCCCATCGTGGAAGGTGAGGCATGCGCCAACGCCTAGGGAGGCCTGCGCTTGGGGAGTCCTAGGGAGGCCTGCGCCTGCACCCCCATCAACCTCGTTCGATAGAAGGAAGGGGAGGCCTACGCTTGCACTTGCGCCTGGGTGTATGCTGGGCCATTGACGTCCCCTTGACTAGCGCATGTTGCAAGCGTATGGTTCAAGTGTTTTAGATATTTCAAAGGTATGTTGCAAGTGTTTCGTATGGATGTTGCAAAAGTAGATCGTGATGTGGCATATGTTGTAATGGCTATATATGTATGTTGCAAGAGACCGTTTCAAATATTTCATATGTTTTTTCAAACATATGTTGCAAGTGTGTTTATTTAATTGTTGTATATGTTTCACACATATGTTGCAAGTGTTTTATCTAGATGTTGCATATGTTTTGCATTGGCTTTTCGAGTGTTTTTTGCAAGTATTTTAGAAGCATGTTTCAAGTGTTTTATCTGTTTTCAGAAGTATATTGCAAATGTTTTATCTGGATGTTTCAAAGATTAGGTGTTGCACACGTTGCAATGGTGCTGATGGTTGGTGGACAACGGCCTGCCACAGGGCTTCGTCTCCTACCTTGCGCGGCGTGCCTCGCCCTCTCCTATCCTCTCCTCTCCCTCTCCTCCCTTCTCTTCCTTCCATCCATCTCGCCGCACAGTTCGAGCTCGGTACGGAAAACCTTACCTGACGAGCACGCAGACGACAGCGGTGGTGCTGGCTCCGGGTGGGCCGACGACGGCGTGATGCCCGTGTGATGGCCCCAGAGCAATACACAGGAAACCAGCAGGGCGTCGAGACGTGGACGTCCGGCAGGACGTTCGGGCGCTGGTAACGCCCCGTGACATAATTATTCATATCCATACAGTAAGTGTGAAGTAACGAAGCACTCTAAAAATAAAATACGCTCAAAAGTTCTCCAATTGAAAGGCAACGATATATGCAAATCAAAGCTTTCGAAGCTGCGCGACAGCAGCGAGGGCTTTCTTCCAGCGTTCATGGCTCACGCACTCATGCGCGGCGGGGAAGTGACCCGCACCCGCTTGTTGACGCGCTCGTTGACGCAAACACGGTGGAGTACAGCTTTTGAGCAGGAGCAGTACACACCAATTCCGGGAGCGTTCTTCACTGGTTCTCCTGGCTGGCCAGTCCCCTATTTATATTTTTTCTTGAAATTCGTCGCTCGCTCTTGACTGGTTCTCTTCCGTCCCCTTTCTCTTGAAACTCAAGCTCACTCACTAGTACTAGCCCACCTTCTCGCTTCTCACGGCGAGAAAGAATCACCATCCCAAGAAGGCCGCCCATCGTCTCAAAAAAAAAAAAAAAAAAAAAGCCGCCCATGGCTGAGTCACTGCTTCTCCCCTGGGTGCAAGGCTTGGTCGGCAAGGCGGCCGACGCGCTGGTCCAGAGGGTCACCAGCATGTGGGGCGTCGATACCTATCGCCGCAAGCTGGAGCGACAGCTGGTGTACGTGCGGTCCTTACTAGCTGACGCCGAGGAGAAGGCCGAGGCGAAGACTGAGGCTGGCCGCGCCGTCAAGGCGTGGATGAAGAAGCTCAAGGCTGCCGGGTACGAGGCCGACGACGTCCTCGACGACTTCCGCTACGAAGCTCTGCACCGGGAGGCCCAGGCCGGGGAGTCAACGGCACGCAAGGTACTGTATTTCTCGCGGGATCGACTTGTGTTCCATCATAAGGCGAGCAGGGATCTCAAGGACATACTCGACAAGATTGACGAGCTGCTGGCGGAGATGAACACTTTTGGTCTGCTGCAGCGCGCGGAGGCGCCACAAGTTCTGTATCGGCAAACATACTCTGCAATGGATGAGTCTATGGAGATCTTTGGCAGAGACGATGACAAGGAGGTGGTGGTTAATAAGTTGCTGAACCAGCAAAATCAGCATTATTATGTGCAGGTGCTGCCCATCATTGGAATGGGTGGTTTGGGCAAGACCACTCTAGCCAAGATGGTGTACAATGACCCCAGGGTTCAAAATCACTTTGACTTGAAGATGTGGTACTGTGTGTCTGACAACTTTGAAGCCACAGCTATCGTTAGATCTGTCATCAAATTGGCTACAGATGGAAGGTGTGACCTGGCTAATAACATTGAGTTGCTGAGAAGAAAACTGCAGGAAGTCATTGGCCAGAAAAGGTTCCTGCTGGTTCTTGACGATGTGTGGAATGAAGAGCAAAGCAAGTGGGAAGACGACCTGAAGCCTTTACTGTGTTCGTCTAATGGTGGATCAGGAAGCATGATAGTTGTCACAAGTCGAAGCCAACAAGTGGCCTCTATAATGGGTACCCTTGCACCCCATGAGCTAAAATGCCTGGGTGAAGATGATTCATGGACATTGTTCTCAAACAAAGCATTCAGTAATGGACTACAAGACCAACCAGAGTTTTTCACAGTTGGTAGACGCATTGTCAACAAGTGCAAGGGACTGCCTCTTGCTCTCAAGGCAATGGGAGGCTTGATGAGCTCAAAACCAAGAGTGCAGCAATGGGAGGACATTGCCAAAAGAAATTTGGGCGGGGCCAAAGATGAAGTGTTGTCCATACTAAAATTGAGCTACAGGAACTTGTCATCTGAAATGAAGCAATGCTTTGCATTTTGTGCAGTTTTCCCTAAGGACTATGTGATTGAGAAGGATATGTTGACCCAACTATGGCTGGCAAATGGTTTTTTTCATGAAGAAGGAGCAAGGAAAAATTTGTTGGCACAGAAAGCCGAATTTGTTTTCAATGAATTAGTTTGGAGATCTTTTCTTGAAGATGTGAAAGAGAGACAAGTTTTTTATTCTGGAAGGTACAAGACAGTTGGATTTAAAATGCATGATTTAGTGCATGACCTAGCAAAAGATGTCACAGATGAATGTGCATTTGCAACAGAGCTGATTCAGAACAAAACATCGATAAAGGATGTATATCACATGCAAATTTCAAGAGATGAATCGAATGAAACTAGTGGATTACTGAAGGGCACGTCACCTCTCCGTACTTTATTAACTCAATCAAAGCACAATGACCTTAAGGAGTTAAAATTGATGTCATTAAGAGCTTTGTGCTGTAAAGATCCTTTTATTATCGACAGCCAGCTTATAAATGTGGCACATTTACGATATCTTGATCTTTCTTTGTCAGATATTGTTGGATTACCAGATTCATTATGCATGTTATATAACTTACAATCGTTGAGGCTTAATAATTGTGCAAGGCTACAATATTTGCCTGAAGGTATGACAGTTTTGAGGAACCTCGAGCATCTTTATCTTTTGGGGTGTGAGAGTTTAAAACGGATGCCACCAAAACTTAGCCTACTGCATAACCTTCGCACACTGACAACATTTATTGTGGACACTGAAGATGATTGTGGAATCGAAGAGCTCAAAGACCTACGTCAGCTTGAAGACAGGTTGGAGCTGTACAATTTGTGTAAAGTAAAGACTGGGTCAGAGTCCAACATCCATGACAAACAGAATCTAAGTGAATTGTTGTTGCACTGGGGGCGCAAGCTATCTTATGATCCTGCAAGTGAGGAGGTCAGTAATGCGGAACAAGTACTAGAATCACTTGCACCTCATGGTGAGCTCAAAGTTTTGGAGTTACATCAGTATGTTGGCTCAGAAATCTCACAGTGGATGAGAGACCCTAGAATGTTCAGGTGCCTCAAGAAACTCCGCATTTCCTGGTGTAAAAGATGTAAGGAGCTACCAATGGTATGGTTGTCATCCTCTCTTGAGGAGTTGTTTCTATCAAGCATGGACAGCATGACCACATTATGTAAGAACGTTGATGCAGAAGATGCAGGATACAATAACCATATGCAAATTTTCCCAAAGTTGAACAAGATGGAGCTTTGGCATTTGCCGGAGTTGGAGAGATGGGCAGAAAACAGTGCAGGAGAGCCTAGCAGGTCGGTGGTGTTTCCCCTGCTCAAAGTGCTAAGAATCGATGGTTGTCCTAAACTCACTAGTCTTCCGGAGTGTCCATCTCTCACACGTCTATATTGCCGCACTTCCTGGTCGATAAGTGTTGCCCCTTCCTCGTTGAGAAGTGTTGCCCCTGTGACTGTGAGCATGCCCTTGGGCTTGTGGCCATCTCTAGTGCACTTGGAAGTGGGTGTGTTATCAGACGTGGTCATTCCTCTACAGAACCAGCAAGGCCAAAGCCAAAGACCCCTAGACACCCTACGAAGTTTGAAGATATACCATGACGACGGCTTCGTATCCATATTTAACCAGTCCACATTGCAGCTCGGGCTTAAGGATTGCTTTCCCTTCTTGGAACGGTTGGAATTTGACTCATGCTCCAATATTGTCTGCTGGCCAGTGGAGGAACTCCGATGCTTGCCCTGCCTTCGATCTCTGTATTTTTTGGGCTGCAACAAGTTGGAGGGGAACGGCTCATCATATGAAGAAATCCTTCCACTACCCCAGCTTGAAACGTTGCAGATAGCTTCTTGTGACAGCTTGCTGGAGATTCCAATGTTGCCTCCCTCCCTTGAAGAAATGGGGATTCGCATGTGTGGAAGTTTGCTGGCGCTTCCTTCAAACCTTGGAAGTCTGGTCAAGCTTAGGAATTTATATTTGTTTCGCTGCGATGGACTGAAAGCACTACCTAATGGAACTGACGGCCTCACTTCTCTTGAGCAGTTGACGATCAGTGAGTGTCCAGGGATAGAGAAATTTCCTCATGTTCTGCTCCAGCGGCTCCCAGCCCTCAAATACCTACACATAGAGGGCTGCCCCGACCTGCAGAGACGTTGCAGAGAAGGTGGTGAGTACTTTGACTCGGTGTCTCCTATTCCGAGGAAAACCATTCTATCAGTAGAATCCGAGCTACAGAAGCCCACAGGCGTACAGAGCACCGTCTGTTTTTTGAACCCTTACTCAAACATGAGGTATTTATGCTCCCACATGTACATCACCTTGATTCCATTATCTTGTTCAATCGTTCTGGCATCAATCTAGTGTACAGCTTCGTTCTGCTTTTTGACACTTTACTCGTGTAGAATAGAACTGATCTATGTTTATCCGAATGCATACTCACTCCCTTCTTGTCTGCTATACTTCAGTATGTAAGACTATGGGATTTAACTGGGCTTTGATGGGAAGCAGCTCTCCACATCAGCCCACATGTCTCTACCTTTACACAGCAAGACTACGAGCCAACAATTCTCATTCCATTCTGGGCTAAAGAACCTGAATATTGACTGGCTAATCAACCAAAACAACATACAGAGGTAAACTTCTGGGCTCGGATCCAATAATTTCTAGTACTTCTACGCAACTGTGTTGTTTGAATGTGAACCATGCAAATGCATGATTCTGTCCATAAAAGCTCTTATCATATGTAAATTGCTGTTGGGATAAGGTTATGTTTCCTTCTGCCGTTCTGCATCCTAACTCTCCAGTTTTAAGAGGCAGGGCATTTTTTGTTTCCTTGTGGTGTGCTTATGTTGGCTCCCTTAGCATTTAAATTTGTATACTCCACGCCTTTTTCTACTACCTTTGGTTTACATAATGAAATGCACGTTGAATTCATTGCTTCTTGTCAATGTTGTGATTCATGATTGGAGGTCCTTAATTTTTTTGTATGTCCTTGTGCAGCAGCATATGGCAATTGTGCACTGACAAGCATAAAAAAAAGGAGTGAAGACTGAAAGAGACTTATCTAGTTTAACATGCTGAACCTGGGGATAACGAATCTACTTCCCAATATGTCAAAATCAAGAACAAAAGAATGTTCTGATCATTCAGTGAAATCAGCTAGCCTGTCATCTAACAATAACAAGCAAATGACTGAGAGAATTAATGTAATTCTGCATAAACACTTGTATTATCGGCAATATCAGTACTGCAAGAATAAGAAATGTTTCTTCACAGGCTACTCCGTTAGAAGAAATGGATAACTGCTACTCCATTACTTCAAACTTATATATCTGATACCTGGAGCAGTCAAATCATAAATAGGTATTTACACCCTTTTTTCCTTGACCATTACAATGAAAACTGGGGGTATTTGATGGTTGATATAGGGAGGATATGCATGTAAAGAAGTAAAAGATCTATTTTTCTTTTGACTTTGACATAGAGTTCGATTCTCAATTATTTCTCACGCTATTCTTACGAAGTTTTGAATTTGCTTGTTTTAATGAGATAGCACATTTTTATGTTCTCTCATTTGCTTATGCATACGACTAGTTGGCTACTATACACATGTTATACGGCCCTGGAGAGTTTGGTGGTTTCGGTCTCAAAACTGCGGTTAGAGTGGTTTCTAGGTTTGGACCTCAAAACCGGAGATCAGCGTGGCGCCATTAGAGCTTGTGTCGAGGCAAAACAACATTACGAAGGCCTATGGCCGTCCGATGCTTTGAAGACCATTTTGCCCTCTGGCCACCGCCTAAATGTAGAGGCATTCTTAGAATGAGTATTTGGCATGTGGAGGAATTACGACGCATGCCTTGCCTTCGATCTCTGCGTATTTGGCATTGTACCAACCTGGAGGGGAAGGGCTCATCAGCTGAAGAAATCCTTCCACTGCTCCATCTGGAAAGGTTATGGATAGCATCTTGTGTCAGGTTGCTGGAGATTCCAAAGTTGCCTGCCTCGCTTGAGGAAATGAAGATTTCCTACAGAATAAGTTTGGTGGCGCTTCCCTCAAACCTGGGAAACCTGGCCAAGCTGAGGATGCTTGGGATGTGGGGCTGTGATCGGCTGAGAGAGCTGCCTGATGGGATGGATGGCCTCACTTCTCTTGAGCGATTAGCAATTAGTGGGTGTTCAGGCATAGAGAAATTTCCGCAGGGCCTCCTTCGGTGGCTCTCAGCCCTCAAATACCTATGTATACACGGCTGCCCTGACCTTCAAAGACGCTGCAGAAACAGTGGGGACTATTTTGACTTGGTCTCTTCTATTCCAGATAAATTCATTCCAGCAACAGAGTCCAAGAAAAATAAGTTTGTAAAGAAGCTCCTCCCCTTCTATTGAGTCTCAGCTGCGGTACGTATGGTCCTGCTTTGCATTGCATTGCATGTCTCCCACTATCTTGTTCCATCACCAATCTAGCAGAGTTCATCATCGTTTTATTTGTTCTTTTATACCTTTTATTTATTAAGTAAGACAATTCAATGGAACTCAATTGGGCCTCTTTTTTTCTCCCGAACAATCAGTTTGGACCTATCTGAATATATATTCACTCCATACTTTTTTTTGTCGTGCAGCGTGTCCAACACCAACTCTGAGATTTAAGTTGGGTTTCATGGAAAGTGGTGCTCCTTGTAGGATTTGCTGTGTAAAAACTTTGCTTTTGGGTGGAAAACCTATGCCTTTTTAGCAGCATGACCGACAAGAGCACGCTACTCTGTTCTAGGTTACAGAAAGGGACCTTGACTTGCTGATCAACGTAAACAACATGCAGAGGTAAGTTTGAACTCTGATTCTTCTAATACTTGTACTGAACATCATTGTTAAACTGGCAGCCATGCAAATGTGTTTCGTGGAGCACCTCCACCTGTCACCTGTTAATTGCCAATGTGATAAGGTTTTCAAGTAATAGTGTGATTTGTGAGTGCCCAAACTTATTGTCTGCCTTCCCTTATGCAGCAGTGTGTGATGATTGTCCTCCTAACAGAGGACAAGAAGCGTCACTTTGACCGGAGAGCAAGACTCTTACCATATGTCCTCTTTTACCAGAGTGTTTGTCTGGCTAGAATTTGGATCGTGGAAGAAAAGTTCATTCCAGTTGCAGGCTGACGACACCCCCCCAGCAATGCACACACTGTCTTCTTCCCTAGAGAATTTGAGATGGAAGCCAAGATGGTTTTCCATACGGATTAAGTAGCTACATTCTCTCGTCTAGTCGTCTTGTACATATAAAGTTTCAGTTTTAAGGGTATAAAAGATATGTCGTACACTCAATACTCCCTTTGTTTTTTTACATGTCATATTAGTTTTATCCTAAATCAAAAATTAATATCTTTGATCATTGATTTTTTTTAAAAGCTGTACGGGTCATGACATAAGATTTATGTTTTAGATTCACAATAAAAAATAATTTCATAATATATAATTCATATGTTGTGAAACTATAATAACTTTTTAAATAGATGGTCAAAGATAGTAATGTATGACTTAGGACAAACTAATGTGACATGTAAAAAAGAACAGATGGAGTATCTCCTAGATTTATTATCGATTTGTTGTTTTCCCATGTAATTTGAGTCTTTAACCTTTGTTGTTGGGTTGATATTCGACGCATGCTTTGGTTTAATGAAATATTTAGAGCTAGGCATTTTAACCTTTTTGTGACATTTTTTTGGTGTGCCGCCACAGTTTTAACTTGCAACGCATGTTTTTCAACGAGTTTTTTCGGCTTTGCTTATGGATGTATAATTGCCTACTTTTTATCGCATACAAATTTCTTTGTTTTGAACTACTCCTATTAAATAGTGGCCGACTAGAGCATACGGCAAGGAGCACCACAAGCAGGTGGGCCCAAAACAAGCTACATTACGAGCCCAGCAAATGATGAGGCCCAGTTTTGAATCTACGGGGGGGGCACCACCAGCGCTTAGCCGTTAGCGGTTGTGAGCTGCTCTGCTGCAGTGCCGCCGCCAGCCACCATCTACCACCGCGAGCTCGCTCATCCGCCGCCGGCAATCGGCATGCTGCCTGAATGTCCAGGTCGGCGTCGCCTGCCGCAATGCGGGCGCCCCTCGTCCACTTTACACGGTGAATGGGTCGTATCGCGTATTCACGCTAGCGCGTCCGTTCGTCAACTGATGCTAGCTTGCTTGACCCATGCATTGCGCAGGCCGCGCCGTCGCCGCGCGCGCCCCTGCTGGTTTCCGACGCCCGCAGAGGCGCTCCCGGTCCCGGATGCGCCTGCTGCCCGCCTCAGGCCGCGCACTTCTTCTCTGCTTACCTTGCTATGCCATGCTATGCACGTTGGATGCTTGTAGAAATGACCCAAACACGCACCAAGTTCCATCGTTCCAGCAATGTGTAGCCATTTTCTACTGCTGCCGCCTGCCACAGCGGCTGTCATGCTCCTGGCACGCCGCTGCCATCATCAGGGACAAGATCTGACCGCTCCGCCGGCTCCAATCTCTTGGCGCGGACGGCTGCTGCTCCACCGAGCGCCGAGAAGTTTTTTAATGTGCCGATCTCCTCTGTTGGGCTTTTCTTGTCCCGCATGGTGGATTAATCCTACTGTAATCATCCCTAACCAGCATCCTTGAAAATTGTTTACAGACATGTGTGGTGTATTGCGCATCGCTTTCATATTCTTTACTATTTCTCGCTAAATTAATCGCCACAGCCTGCACTTGCATTCCATGATAATACCGCCCTGCTTTGTTCTTTCCCAGCTATTTCTACATGCATGAATCCTGGTCCTTCACCACCCATACGCTGATACGCACTGCATTACTGCAAACAAGACTGAGAGCAAAAAGTAACTAGCATGGCTGACTTGCTGCTTCTCCCTGTGGTGACCAGGGTGACCGGCAAGGCCACCGACGAGCTCGTTCAGAGCGTCACCCGAATGTGGGGCATCGACACCGACCGTGGCAAGCTGGAGCGGTTGCTGTGTGCGGTTCAGTGCATGCTGCCTGACGCCGAGGTGAAGGGCGAGACCAGCCCCGTTGTCAGGAGGTGGATGAAGGAACTTAAGGTCATCGCCTATCAGGCAGACGATGTCCTTGACGACTTACAGTATGAGGCTCTGTGCCGTGAGGCCAATGAGGGTGAGCCCACGGCACGCAAGGTATCAAGTTACTTGACCCTTCACAGCCCTCTTCTGTTCCGTCTCACTGTGAGTAGGAACCTGAGCAAGGTTCTTAAGAAATTGGATGATCTTGTCCTGGAGATGCACACTTTAGGTCTGGTGGAGCGCCCGGTGGCGCAACACGCTCTATGTCAGCAAACGCAGGTAGTACTGGATGGCTCTGCTGAAATCTTTGGTAGAGATGATGACAAGGAGGTGGTAGTAAAGCTGTTGCTTGACCAGCAGCATCAAGGTCAGAAGAATGTACAGGTGCTGCCCATTATAGGGATAGGGGGTGTGGGCAAGACCACGTTAGCAAAGATGGTGTACAAAGACCACAGGATTCATAAGCACTTTGGCTTGAAGATATGGCATTGTGTGTCTGAAAACTTTGAACCCATCTCTGTTGTGAGATCCATCATCGAATTGGCTACAGGTGAAAGATGTGATCTGCCTGACGACAGCAATTTCTGGAGAGCACGACTTCAAGGAGCCATTGGCCGGAAAAGGTTCCTACTCATCCTTGACAATGTGTGGAATGAAGAGCAGGGCAAGTGGGAGGATGAACTTAAGCCACTACTGTGCACATCTATTGGAGGATCAGGAAGCATGATTGTTGTCACTAGTCGAAACCAACAAGTGGCTGCTATAATGGGCACCCTTCCAACACAGGAGCTAGCATGCTTGACTGAAGATGATTCATGGGAATTATTCTCAAAGAAAGCATTTAGTAAAGGAGTACAAGAGCAACCAGAATTGGTCACTATTGGCAGACGCATCGTCCACATGTGCAAGGGACTGCCTCTTGCTCTGAATACAATGGGTGGCTTGATGAGTTCAAAACAAGAAGTCCAGGATTGGGAGGCCATTGCAGAAAGCTATAATAGTGATACCAGTAGAGGCACAGATGAAGTATTGTCCATCCTAAAACTGAGCTACAGACACTTGCCAAAGGAAATGAAGCAATGTTTTGCATTCTGTGCAGTTTTTCCAAAGGACTATGAAATGGAGAAGGATAAGTTGATCCAACTATGGATGGCAAATGGTTATATTCGTGAAGGGGGAACGATGGATTTGGCACAGAAAAGCGATTTTGTTTTCAGTGAGTTGGTTTGGAGGTCCTTTCTTCAAGACGTGAAAGCGAAGATATTTTGTAACACACTTCATGAGACAATTATATGTAAAATGCATGAATTAATGCATGACATGGCAAAAGATGTTTCAGATGAATGTGCATCTGCAGAAGAGCTGATTCAAGGAAAAGCATCGATAAAAGATATAAATCACATGCAAGTATCACGGCATGAGTTGAATGAAATCAATGGATTACTAAAAGGCAGATCGTCTCTCCATACTTTGTTAACTCAATCAGCTCACAATCATCTTGAGTTAAAACTGAAGTCAGTAAGATCGTTATGTTGTGAAGGTCTTTCTGTTATCCATGGCCAGCTTATAAGTACGGCACACTTGAGGTATCTTGATCTTTCTAGGTCAAAGATTGTTAGCTTGCCAAATTCACTATGTATGTTGTACAACTTACAGTCGTTGTGGCTCAATGGATGCTCCAGGCTACGGTATCTACCAGATGGTATGACAACTATGAGGAAGATCAGCTATATTCATCTTTTGGAATGTGATAGTTTGGAACGGATGCCACCAAAACTTGGTCTACTGCAGAACCTTCGCACACTGACAACATTTATTGTGGACACTGGAGATGACTTAGGAATTGAGGAGCTCAAAGACCTGCGACATCTTGGCAACAGGTTGGAACTGTTCAATTTAAACAAAGTAAAGAGTGGGTCAAAAGTCAATTTCCATGAGAAGCAGAACCTAAGTGAATTGTTGTTGTATTGGGGCCGTGACCGAGATTATGATCCATTAGATAATGAGGAATTTAATAAAGACGAAGAAGTACTGGAATCTCTTGTTCCTCATGGTGAACTCAAAGTTTTGAAGCTACATGGGTATGGTGGCTTGGCTATGTCGCAATGGATGAGAGACCCTAAAATCTTCCGGTGCCTTAGAGAACTCGTTATCACTGAGTGCCCAAGATGCAAGGATTTACCGATAGTATGGCTGTCATCTTCTCTTGAAGTTTTGAATTTATCCGAAATGATCAGCCTGACAACATTATGTAAGAACATCGATGTGGCAGAGGCAGGATGCAACACCTCTCAGCAAATTTTCCCAAAGTTGAGAAGGATGCGGTTACAATATTTGCCTGAGTTGGAGAGATGGGCAGAGAACAGTGCAGGAGAGCCTAGTACCTCAGTGATGTTTCCCATGCTTGAAGAGCTAAAAATCTACCATTGCTATAAGCTTGTAAGTTTTCCCGAGGGCCCAGTTCTCACACTTCTATCTTGTCGAGGTGACTCTGCACGTGGTCTTGTTCCTGTGAGCATGCCCTTGGGCTCTTGGCCATCTCTTGTCCACTTGGGCATTGGATTGCTGGCTGAGGTGGTGATGCCTCCAGAGGACCTTCAAAGCCAAAACCAAAGACCTCTAGACACCATGCGGAGTTTGAAAATCCTGGGTGAGGATGGTTTCGTATCAATATTTAACCTGTCCAAATCTCAACTTGGGTTTCGAGACTGTTTGGCCTTTGTGGAAAAATTGGAGATTGGATCGTGCCCCAGTATTGTTCACTGGCCAGTGGAGGAGCTCCGATGCTTGCCTTGCCTTCGATCTCTGAATATTTGGTACTGTAAGAACTTGGAGGGGAAGGGCTCATCATCTGAAGAAATCCTTCCGCTACCCCAGCTGGAATGGTTATCGATACAGCATTGTGAGAGCTTGCTTGAGATTCCCAAGTTGCCCACATCCCTAGAGGAAATGGGGATCCGCTGCTGCAACAGTTTGGTAGCTCTGCCTTCAAACCTTGGAAATCTGGCCAAGCTCAGGCATTTCTCCATTGAGGACTGTGGTGAGATAAAAGCACTACCTGATGGGATGGATGGTCTTACTTCCCTTGAGAGGTTGAGTATTGGAGAGTGTCCAGGGATAGAGAAATTTCCACAGGGTCTCCTCCAGAGGCTCTCAGCCCTCAAATTCCTGGAGATAAAAGCCTGCCCTGACCTGCAGAGACGTTGCAGACAAGATGGGGAGTACTTTGACTTGATTTCTTCTATTTCAAGTAAAGACATTCCAGAAGTAGAGTCCAACATAAAGAAGTTTGTGAAGAAGCTCATCCCCTTCTGCTGACACTTGACTGAGGTGTGTTTGCTCCTGCATCACCACAATTCCATTATCCTGTAATTATTCATCCTTTCATGCTTTAGATATATATACAGTACAATAGAACTCAATTTGTGTGTATCTAAATGCATATTCACTCTCTTATCCTTTATTGTATCAGTATGTCAGAGTGAGATTAAAGTTGGTTTGATGAGAGTTGGTCGCCACATTGCCCCCACTACAAGGTTCTTTAGTAGGATTGCTCCTTAAGCTTTATTTTGCATTGCAAGGCTCTGTCTTTTTATCAGGAAAATCAAAATGAGCAAATTGTTATCATTCCGTTATGGGCTGCCGAAAATGGATTTTGACTTGCTGATAAACATAAACACAGTGCAAAGGTAGATTTCCATTATGGGCTACTTTTGTCCCCCCACTCTGTTGTTCAACTGTTAACCATGCAAATCCATTCGAGGAGATAGAGCTTATCGTTTGTATGTCCTTGTGCAGCAATGTTGGATAGTTGATTGGTTGTGCATATAACAAGTGCCAGAGAAAGTAGAAGACTGAGAAGGAAAAATCTCTCAAGAGTCAAGAGATTAATGTAACTGGGAGAAGGAAATGCCTGCTCTTTAGTATACAAAAATAAATTGGCATAGCTGTGTCATTGCTCTGTTTGTCAAGAGGAAGAGGTATCAGGTATGCAACGCACTTCGGAATGGTGACATGACAATACATAGCTGGGATAGGAGCACGTTCTGATCATCAGTGAAAGCATATAGTCTGCCAGCTACTATAGTTGCTTAAGCACGGCACCAGAAGATGAGCGTTATACATACAGCATGACAGCCTCTATGATCATCCATGTAAGTACTGCAAGATATGAACTACTTCTGCATTACTGCCTGTATTGTTGCCCTCAAGACTGATTGCTACTCCCTGATTATATGTTTTTATATTTGGTATCTGTAGGCTGGATCCATCCAGATGCCCTGGAACTGAATTCTTTGGAAGCTACTGACAATTTGACACTTGGGAAGGGAGTTCAAAAAATAGTTATTGGGAATTTTGTCTTTAACACTCTGTATTTGATGGAATGTGACAGAAGATGGGAAGAGTAGGTTATATTTAACTCCTAATTGCATGTGTAATGTTGTTTTAAAAAGTAATATATTATGAAAAAACAAAAGGGCCTAGATAGGGCCACCAAGGCTAGACAAGCAGAAGAGACTAAAAGAAAAGACATTATGCTGTCATAGGGCAACGAGAAAGCAACACAATGCTTGTTAACCCATTGAATTGGTCAATCATTTTCAGCTTGGTTTGCATCGATCCATCCGTTTTCACCGATAATTTACTATATTTATATAGCCTTTCTTCAGTTAATGCCAGCAAGCCTTGGAATTGCCGGCAAATTTGGCATCTTTTGAGTAGTATTCATGTAGCCTTTGCCAGTGTAGGTTCAGTATGGAGCGCATGAGGAGAATTGCTGGGATGGGCAAGGCTAAGGTTCCATCTGTGGTTCAGGCCGAAGACAAAGATGAGAGCGTTGTCTTCTTCAGGGAGCTGTACAAGCGCGAGAAGTATAGGGATGTGAACCTCCTGGAACCAATGTACTCAGTCGAGTTTGATGCTATCCAAGGTAACATGTTTGGCTATTGTGATCCTTTCTCTTATGCCTATTGGGAGGAATGTTCATGAAAAAAATTCTAACTGAGTCGGCATGATTTTGGGGAAAATTTCCAGTAGTACATATTTCAATACTCTTTCCTGAAAGCTCATGGATTTGGAGTTCGTTTTATTTAGGAGAACAAATATGAAGTTCTGTATTGGAAAATGGATGGGTGAAAGGGTTGAGGTTTAAATAGATTTTTTTTCATTTTTTTGTTAATTATTAAAATCTTGTGCAACTACTCTTAAAGTGTATCCACTCACCTGTTGACACATATTACTTTATTACTAGGTGGTCATGTGTGCAGAGTTCCCTCAGGAAAGAGAGATTTCCTTATACCAGTGGACGAGAAGCATGATTATGACTGGTAGGTTAGGATCAAACTCGAGTCTAGATTATTCTTGCATGACTGAATCATTTCTCAGGAGAACAGTTCGTTCGTTTCAGGCTGATGACACCTCCGTCTGCACCACTGTTTCCTTCCCTTGACACTGAAGCCAACTCCTCTCGAATGGTACTCCAAAAGGAGCTACCAATCCCTCCTCGTCCAGTTAAACCGTCAGCCTCAAGGGTATACTGAATGCTAATGTTATCTGCTACTCATTCTAAAACAGTGTCTGAAGATTTCTTTTAGCAACCTGCTGCAAATCAATATCATCCGATTGATATCTTTATCTATGACAGCTCTCAGGCAAGCTGGATGGATCCACAACATTGGCACGACCAGCATCACATACAGCTAGCTCTTCATCAAAAACAGCCTGCGTCAAAGGCGCTCCGGCTGTCTCCAAAGAGAAGAAGCAACCGCGCACTGCAGACCAGAGACCAAGCCACAAGGTTCCGACGAATGGGAAGCAGAAGGCAGCAGCTGCATCTATTCCAGGTACCCGAACAAGTGGTGCTGGTGCACCGAAGAAACACTCGGAGAGGTGCTATGCAAGCCAAGCCAGCGGCACAAGCACAAGCACGGTCAAGGGAGTGGCAGACCAAGAAGTCCCTTTCAAGGCACCGAAGAATCTCATCACAACAGCCCGATCGATATTCCGGCGCCAAGCTCCACCGGCGGTGAGTGCTCAGAGCAAAGGCGCTCCACCGGCGGTGAGTGCTCAGAGCAAAGGTTCTGGGTCCGGCGTAGATGTCAAGAAGAAGAAGAAGAAGAATGGCAAGGCGACGAGGCAGTCATGTCCGCCGGCTGCCACAAGGGGCATGACGATGTCGGAGCTGCTGTTACAGGACAGGAGGAATGAGCTGCCGCCGAGAGGGACGAACGTAACTGGGAGTGGCGCCGGCGGTGAGCCTCCTTCCAGCACGGGTGGCCGTGCAGGCAGGGCACCACTGATGAGGGGCATACCTAAAGCAGATGGGAAAGCATGGGTGTAACCGTGTAATAGACACGCTCATCGTCTGTTTTGCTTGCAGTTTAGTTTTCTAAAGCCATTTGCAGAGTTCTGTAATATGGCGCCCATGCATTTGCTGAACCTTGTAAAAACAAAATTGGACGAACCTATATGTCAAATCGTTCAGTTGCTGCTGTCTTTGCACACTGTTTCTGAATTTTGGCATTCCTTCCATAGGCACCATAGGCAGTGTCTTGCCAAAGCCCTCCTTCCATAGGCACTGTCTTGCCAAAAGCCGAAACGTCGCTGGCTAGTGGCCGGTCGCTTCTAGGGGGAATTGTGGCTTGCAACTTAAAACACGCTTCGAAGATTTTTGGAGCTTTAGAGACAATGAGATGATAAAACCTCCTCTCTTTTTTTACTTTTGCCAAAAGTATGTTTTTCTTTCTAATTTAAGAGCTACATATCACAGTACATGTTCACATGTTTAAACTTCCTGTGTTAATATACACGCATGTACCATAGCACCAGCCATCTCTCTTTTTTCTCACATCAGGTTTAGAACCTGAGCAGATGACCACTGCAATCGGTTTGCAAAAGACTGATGAGCAGGGCAAAAGGCCGACACCGGCACAGACGCTGCAGCTAAGCAGCGTCAGTGCTAGGGTTAGCTGCAGCATCAGTGGTAGGGTTGAGCGGCTTCCCTCGGCCCATGGTAAACCCTCTTGTGCCATCCGGCATGCGGGGGCCCGGGGCGGCTTCGGCACAGCTGGATGCTCCGATGGGGGAGTGCCAACCGGATGGTGGCCATCTCGGCTGTTGTGGCCAAAATACTGACCACGGCCTCTGCCTCTGCCTCCACGTCCTCTCCCTCTCCCCTGCTGCCTCATTCCACCCTTGTCATGGGTGCTATCTTCAGCCTATGCAATTCATCGTCAGAATATCCATCGTTGATAGGATTAAACCAGTAATAGCAACAAGAAACCAGAAGACCACGCAATACCTGATGATCAAAATGTGCTTCTGAGTTCTGGGCAGCAACATCTGTTCCATAGTCTTGTTGATGGTCAGTTGTGTCAGGGCCATCTTCATCTGCATCATACTCCTCGTCTCCACCTTTTCTTCCTTGGCCCAATCCATGTTTCTACAAAGAATGAAAATAACAAGATTGTGTAATTGTTTTCTTCATGTTTGTACTAGCATCCCATTACCATACCCAACTTAGTAAAGAACACAGAATGGACAACAAAAAAAATACCAGGCAACCAAGCAGTGAACGAACTCTAATCCCATCTCTCCAGTTTCCCCCTCCACCGAATTCAGCAACCTATACACAACACAGGTCACAGGGTGTTCCTTCTATTAGTGAACCATAAGTGGGAAAGCACAACTGGATAGAAAAGTCAAGCTGACATACTGCTTTTTCAGCATCTTCAACAGTTGAATACTCCACAAAAGCATGAAGCTACAAATACAGCAAAACGAAATTATAAAAACAGTACAACTGATTATTGTTATATATCACAAAGCTATGGGCTTGATGATCAACTTTTAGCATTCACACAGTAGATAATATCATGGTACAGACCTTATTAGCAAAAATCATCTCAATCCTCGATGTTTTGTTAGCAGCTGCTGCAGCAACATCTTGTGGATAGCAGGTACGTATGGATTTCACACTGCAATACAGATAACATCATGACTCATGGGATTACTATTGTATCTGGCTGGCAACTGTTTGTGCTAACAGACATGCATATGGCGTACCTCCCAACAGCTGAGAAAATCTTCATCAAAGTCTGATGCTTTTGATCCTCAGGTAAATTTTCAGCAACAACAATGCGAGACTGCACAAAGGACAAATTTCAGCAGCCTATAAATAGTGGACAGTTTGTTCAACTAATTCTGATGCTAACCTGAACTTCTTCAGCATTGAAGGGCTGTGAGCGTTTAACATGTTTCCCATCCTCTGAAACAACCTATAAATGATACAAATATGTATTTTAGTGAACATAAAAGCATCAAAGCATCCCTTATGTTCGAGTGTGAGGGCAATAGAAGGACATGACAAGATACTCTCTGCCATAGGATGGTATAAGATTACAGACTGCTTTAACCCTACACTGAGGTTTTGGGACAGCCAGATCTTAGCTCTTACTAATGGAACCTTATTACTTGAGTACGCAGATAAAAAAAATATAAATATGCAAACAAGCTAGTATAGAGAACAAAATGAGATGGTATTTGTCAAGAACATGATATCGGAAAGTAGTGGTCAGCACAATATTAATTAAGATGTTTACCAGCTCGGATGATGTGCGCAATGCAGCAACCAACAAGGATCTGTCATAAACTATCTCCCGGATCTTCCTAAAAGATGCAACTACAGATATTGGCACTGCAAAATACAATGACATGTCAATACCACTACTAACCACAAAAATATAAGTCAAACAAAACATCACATCGATATGTCAAGGTGAGCATTTGCTTAACTCATGTCCATTGCTTGCTGACTGGCGGAAATAAAGTGTTGTTTGATTAACAAAATGTGGAAAAGGCATTGGATAATTCTCTATTAGAAGCAATACATCTTAACTTCCATCAAGGGTGTGCAACTCATAATGATATACAGCAAATAATGCAAGCATATTAGAAACACTTCAGCAAAACATTTTCCCATTTCTAAAAATGTATTGATAGCTACACCAGAAAATTTACCCCAGGACCATAAATTGTATTGTAGTAAAACATGAAAACGAACAAAGGTGAGATGGTGGGAACCTATACCATAACCATAGCATCAAAAATAGTTTCTTTGTTTAGCAACATCATATAGACATTTCTATTGCATCAAAATCCAAATGATCACAATTACAAACCATCTAACGAAAAAATACATATAGTAGCAGACAGGGTGACCAGGTAGTTTATTTGAAATTAACCATTGAACTTACCAAATCCATCTGGATCCTTAGTGATGAACTTCATCAGATGTTCAGTTGTGGCCAAATTGATATCGCTGAAGTAAAATTCAACCTGTCATGTTGCCAAACACATTTAATCCAACGAGAAGATAGTAATACAGATGGAAATCAAGCATCCAATGAATGAGAAACTATAAGGGAAATAGTAAGCTGAAAAAAGTGATAGTACAGTGTGGGTGTTTCCAGTAATTTGAGGGAAGGGAAAAAAGAAAATCAAGAAAAAAACAAATAGAATAATAAATAAGCGACGCTTCAAATGATGCAACGCGGGAAATTAATAATTGCGGAGATTTAACTTTCCATTTTCTGGAGTATTGTCCTAAAACGGAAAAACGAGTAAACCAACGCTTCCACTTACCATGTGTGCACCAGTTGCAATCTAAATTAATTTCTAAAGACGACAAATTTGTAATTTGTCGTATACGCTATACCCTAGTGGTGACTGATAAATCCAACTCAAGCCCACGTGTTCGCCAAACATTGGTATGCAAGCTTATAACTGCTCTATAATTTCCAGCCTTGCCTCCCCTTCCTGTCACTCAACCCTAATAAGACACTTAAATGTGAATGCAGGCCTGTTCCCTTCCCGCCATAGCATGTATTTGCATTTAGTACAAACCATGCAGGCTATCATAGGTAAGTAACTCAGCCAATAAAATATTTCCTAAGTTTGAGTTTTCCAAAAATAGATTTTGCCATATTGCGTTCCATTTTTTCTCCCTCCAATGTTCAGAGATCACTCATCAGTAATGAATACCATGCCACAGTACAATTGATGATCTTAACTTACTAGCAGGAACTAAGAAATGCAAAACGAATATAAGATGCCTCTAAGAGATACATCAAAACTGATGGATCATGGATGCAACACATCCGGTAGTGATCTAAGTACAGAATACATCTGAAACTCAATAAATTTTTCCCTGGACATGGTGGATTGCAATGAAGCAATAGAGCTGCAACGAAGCAATATACAGGAACGCATCAGTCTACTCCTCCATACGATTAGTTTACCAACAGAAGGATCTAGGTTCGCGCGACACTCCAGATTCACACCAACATCAGCATAGAGAGATACAGCAACACGGCAGATACGAGAGTACTCGATCGCGGGCAAAGGAAAGGTACCTGCTTGACGAGCTTGCGGGCCTCAGGTTCGGGCAGCCGGTGCTGCGCCTGCCCCGCACCAGTGGGGCCCTCCCTATCCTCCGCCGTCGTGGCGGCGCTCCCCTCATCCTCGGCCTGGTGGTGCTGGTGCCGCGGCTGGTAGTGCTGGTGCGGCTGGTGATGGTGGTAGTGGTGGTGGTGGTGATGCGGTTGATGGTGGTGGTGCAGGCCGCGGCGATGCGGGTTGTTGCCGTGGTTGTGGTGCTGGGCGGCGGATCGAGGGGTGAACTCGGGCGCGGCGGCGTTCAGGCGAGCTGCCGGGGCTGAGGAGGAGGAGGAGGATCCAGAGGCGGTGGACTCCGGGATGTCGTCCTGCGCCATGGGGATCGGAGAGGAGAAGCCCAGGAGGGTTTCGTCTGGTTTGCTCTCAGGCTGTCAGGCTTGGGGTAGAACTGTAGAAGGGGAGAAGAAGAGGAAGCGAGGAGACGGCACACGGGCGGCTTCTATCTAATTTCCAAAGGTCGGCTTCTTAACCACTAAAACCATGGACTAGAGTCAGAACTTGAACACATACCATATATGTGCTGGTAGGGTTTTGATCCAACAGCTAGCACTGTTTTTTAACCTCTTTGGATTGACTAGCAAAAATATCCGTGCATTATAACAGGAGAAAAATAATAATGTCAGATATTTATAGGAAACAAAGACATGAATAGTATATAGTTATTTATGTTTTATTACCATTTTTATAAATTTTAATAATTTTTATTTTACGATGACAAGACACACGTAATACTAAGTTAATAGTGGCAATGATATGTAAATATCATATATTAAACCTATATCAAATTAAAATGCAATATTTATAGATTGTATTGGTCCGTTAAAGTGCTCAATATTTTAGATGATGCTTTGATTAGCTAGATTATCAGCCGATCCACAAAGAGCATGGCTGGCTGTCCTAGCAGGTGCAGGTGTCCGATGACCTCCTCCCTCGGGAGAGATTCCTCAGAGCAGCACTCTGGCCCTATTCGTTTCTCTTATAATCTGAACTTTTCAGCTTGTTTTTTCAGCCAAAACAGTGTTTCGGCTTGTTTTTTCAACGAAGCGAACGGGGCATTTGTCCGCAACGTGACGGTGTCAGCGGCTTTGGCTTCTTCGACGCCGCGAGTGAGGCCACCTCGACCACTCCCAGATCGTGGCTGGCCTCGTCGCCCTGCGCGTCCCCAAGGAGTATGCACGGGTGTCCTATAGAGGCCGGTATCTTTTAGGGAAAATTGTCTGGCGGACATCTAAAGTGATGGTCGTTTGCTGACGGACATCTCGTTTTGAGTAGTTTGCCAGAAGACACTCTGGTTCGTTGAAATTATGCCACAGGACACCGCAGTCCGGTTTCAGTCGGTTGAGGAGAGAGAAAATTTTATTTTGGACATCCGGTGCCCCTGAGCCAAAGTTGGGTCCGCCCCCAACTTGGTCTAGTTGGACCACATAAGAACAGAACTGGAAGAAGAGACAGGCCGTGTTCGGACCAGCTCCATGCCGGAGTCAAAGCTCCGCCCTTGTCGAGCGGGCTACGAAAGCCAAAGCCCAAGCTCCGCCCCCTGCCGAGCAGCTCCGCGCCGGAGTCCAGCGTTGCCCCACCACTCAAGATCCAGAGTCGCCTGCGTCATCCTCGCATCAACGACGCCTCCTTCCTCCTCGCATCAACGGCAGATCCGGCAGCGCCCACCAGCGGTCTGGATCTCGCAGGCCAAGCGGTGGCTCCCTCCCGAGTTCTAGCGGTGGCGACGACCTCTCCACCTTCCATGCGAGCGGCTCCCCATCTCCGAGGCCTTGGTATGATGGCGCTGTTAGTATCACTGTGGAGTTGGCGGAGGTTGGATTTGGAGCACAGAGGAGGATTCTGGTAGCTCTTTGAGGAGTTTGCTCCGGCCGATGGCCCAGACCATAGTCATATGCTTGCCACCAATGAAGGCCTCCTCGATCTGTAAGCCGTCGCTGTCTTCTCGATGCGACGGAGCGCAAGAGCAACCATAGCGGGCGCAGAGCCCCCAAGCTCCGCGGCGAGGTCGACCAGAGCAGCGCTTCGGCCTCGGCCGGGCGGGACGACGTTTGGATTGCAGGCGGCGCGTGAGCGTGGCGTCATCGATCACGCCAAAGGGGACGAGCTCGAGGAGACACACAGCAACCATGGTACGCACGGCGTCGATGCCACCGTCGGTTCCCCCCCCCGCAGCGACGGAAGCTGGGGAGGACCCCGACGAGGTCTTGCATTGGGTGGAGCGGGGGAGGGCGCGGCGGTGCTGGGGCCTGAGGTTGGGGTTCTGCACGTGGATGCTGGCGTTGGGGTACAGCGGCGCCATCCCCTCCATGGGGTCCAACCAGACCAGGTTGGGGGCGGATCTAAGTGTGGCTCAAGGGCACCGGATGTCCAAAACAAAAAAAAATTCTCTCCTCAATCGGCTGAAACCGGGTCACGGTGTCCTGTGGCATAATTTCAACGAACCAGATTATCTTCTGACAAACTGCTCAAAACGGGGTGTCCGCCAATAAACGACCATCACATTAGATGTCCGCGCAGACAATTGTCCCTATCTTTTATGGGTTTCTATATATAGTCTTTTACTGGCATGGAGAAACATAAGTGAGAGGTTTTGACGCAACGGTGATTGAGTTGGGTTCGTATACGACGCGCGGTGCCTTAATTTCTAAAACAAACACAAAAGAAATCTGATCGGAACATCTTGTATTTGGATTAGGATTCTGATTTTATATATATATATATACCACGAGCTATAGATAGAGGTGAAGAGAGCCGATTTTCATATTTACGGTGTTAGTTAGAGGAAGACGGTCAAAAAAATAGACGGACTAAAAAATAGGTGAAATTTTGCCTCTTTATTATTACTGCCTCCGTTCTAAAAAGAATATAACTACGGGTTGTGTGCTACGAAAAGTAATTCATGTTTGACCAAGTTTTTAGTAAATAATATTTATAATTATGTATTTAAATTAATTTATTATAAAAATACATTTCGTAATTAATCTGATGGTATTTATTTGATATCATAAACATGGATACTTTTTTATTTATAATTGGTCAAACTTAAAGTACTAAAACATGACACTGTGCTAGAATTGTATTTTTTTGGGACCGAGATAGTAGGAAAAAAATATAGAAACTAAGAAATATTGGGGAAAAGAAAAATAACAGAAAATTTTCATGGAACGGATAATGTAAAAACAAATGGGAGATGCTAAAAAACGTGGAAGAAATATTGGGGAAAGAAAAATAACAAAAACGTTTCATGGAACGGAGTAACATGTGGTTTCTTTTTACGGTCCTGCCCGGACGCATAACACTGCAAAAGAAGGAAAAAGAAGATAGGCAAATTTATTACATAAAGAAATATGGATTCACATCGGATTTGGATTTGGGCTAGTAGCTGTGAATATAAAAGATTAGTAGGGTAAAGTTGGACCAAAATTGAGGGTGACAAATTTTTTTGCCTATTTAGTATTAGGCATAAATATAGATTAAAACTAATTGTTAGTCGAAGCTAACAAAATTAGCCAGCTACCTACGAGCTAGCACATGTTTGATCCTTGGCTAATTTTTAATAGTTAATAATAATTAGCCTTTAGTGTCAACCCTTACTCCCAACACGACACTTATTAAAAGATGAGAGGGCAACATGAGCATGCTTTGATATTACCGTGGTGACAACAAGCGATTGTAGTATGAGGCATGAAGCACCGTTTATATAGAACTCAAAGCTCATGACTAGAGAGGTTTTCGTCTCTCCTATATAGGCAAAGCTACCAAGGGAGTTTTGCTATTGTGCTTTTTTGTTAGATATAAATAAAAAGGCAAAGATTGTATGGTGAGGAAGTGCCCGCTCTTTTAGGATAAGCCCATTATAGTTGTTAAAACTATTTCCACGAGCGCTTCATCCTTTTGTCAAAGTAAGTCTTTGTTATTTCTACGAGTTGTTCTAATCTATATCTATGTATCTTATTATAGAAACAAACTCCGCTAGCATATCTATTTCTCATGCAAACTATCAACATCAACAAGCCATATCACCCGCTAACATTTATTTAGTTGTCTATACATCAGCTAGCTACATCATCCAATAACATCATTGCAAGTCAATAATTATGTGTTGTTCAATTTTTATTTTAAATTATCTGCAAACCTTGTACGGTATCCTTCTAGTGGTTTGTAAAACTATCGTCCAATCATACATATACACATGAAGTAGACATGGAGTCACCTAGGTTGTAGCGTCATGAGATGAAAGCAAAAGTAGTTTCATGATAGGCATTCATTTGTGGTGGATTCATCTTAATAGGGAAGGGGTCCTCACATCGCTCCTTTTACCTCCTTTTCTTCCTCTAACATTTATTTTCTCTTCTTTTTTTAATGCCCCAAAAGTTTTACCAGTGTTGTTTGGGTTCCTCTAGAAAAAAATGTGTTTTCATTTTTTTAGTTATTCATTCCATTCATTGGAATAAATTTCTTGGCAAATATGTTTTGCGTGTTGGGAAGCGCAAAGACATAAAAAAATGTTGAGCGGCAAAAAATGACTTTTGTATCAGTGGTTCGGATGAACGATCAAAGACCATGAATGAGTAGAGCTCGTCGAAAAAATTATATTTAACTACACATATGTTGTATTCGAAGTCTGGATTATGGTAATTCAACGAATCAAAGAATGAAGTGATAAGAAAAAATATAGAAGGAACGTAAAGAACCGTGGCTCTTCTTTCTTTCCCCTCTCCCTCAAAGATCATAGCTTCGTTTGGACACCCCACTCTCTCCCCTGCACCTCCTACCATCCACAGGCCCTCCATGCCCCTTCCTTAGTTGCTTGAGGAATCAACATGCAAAAAATGGGAACAAGGATGTATAGAGAAGCAACAAGCAATGCTAGATTGGTATTTCTCCTTTTTTTTTGTTGTTCATCCAAAAGGGAACTTTATGTGAGTATCCCTAATCACATCTGTTTTTGTATACATTTTTTAAAACACATTTAGACGACAATTATAATGTTTTGTGAATTTTCTAGATTTTTTTGGATATTTTCCCCATTTTCATAGAGCTAAAATCTAATTTTGAGAAGCTTCTAGAAATATTTTCACGAGATCTATATTTGAACTCATCGTATTCCCATCTATCACTTAGATTTTTTGATTTTTTTTTGAACATGGAAGATATCTCCATTACTCATAAACAAGTGCCAAATCTTTGGCTACAAAAGACCTGATACAAAATGGAATACTGTCCAGCACCGGATCAGTACCCTAAGTCAAACTTGCCCCAAGAGCAGCTAAATTATGGTCTACCAAATTACAGGAACGGTGATTATGAATTACATCAAAGGCAGCAAAGTTACTAGATAGAAGGTTCTTTAATTCCCATATGAGACCACTCGCTGAAGATCGATCAATTTCTGGGGAGGTGACGGCCTGCACCACCATAGAAGCATCTGTTGCCAGAATCACCCTTTGGATCCCCAGATCAGCTGCCCTCTGCACGGCGTGCAAACAAGTACAAAGTTCAGCATGGAAAGCCTCTCCTACGTTCGACAGCACTCCTTAAAAACTTGATGAAGACATTTTCTGTGGTTGTATAACCTTATTAAGTATTTTTTTGGATTTTTTAAGTTAACACAAGAAAAGATAAAACCACTTCAAAATAGGACAGGAGAGTTGGTAAAATGTTAGTTTTAGAGTTTGAAGAGAAATATGATACTACGAAAATATTCATATAGAGAGGTAAAATAGACTTTTTCCGCAACAAAGCAGCCCATGCACGATACGGGGTGGGCCGCGCGTGGTAGACTTTGCAAAATAACACTAAAAAAACAGAATAAATGCTGAATGGTTTTCTCGTGGTTACAGAAGCAGCCTCGGAGGTTCCCTTTCTTATTAGTTTTCACCACTTACATTCATGATTACAGCTTCACTTACATGCCACGCAAAAATCTTTATTCGCAGATACACATTTCATTCTGGTGGACAAGAAGTTACACAAAAATTATGTCATATAGTCGGTGCACAGCACCAGCGTAATAATCCCTGCGTCAAAGATCACAAGCCCAAGGCCCCAAGCAAAAGACCTGCCCACAAGAGTTCAACAAATCACTCTCTCAGATGAGATCCTCGTGTACAAGATCATCATATCTAATGCATGACACATTGCATTTTGTACCGGACACTTTATTCTATTCTAAACTTCTACCTGAATTATCTCCATCATCATTGACAGTTTCAGGTGCAATAACCACACGGTTCAGCAGACTCTCACCCAGGAACAGGTACACCAGTCAAAGTGACCTGAACTTGATCCGCCAGGAAGGTTAGTGTCTTCAGTCATTTGGTTGAAGACTGATGTGGTGCCACAGCCTCTGCATCCCGAGCTTCAGGTCGCCAATCCCGCTGAATGCTACCCAGTAGCCTCTTGCGAAACAGCACTACTATGTACAAAGAATCCGTCACCTTCATGTTACAATTGCTAATCCTACAGCGCGTACATCTTCGTCTTGTATTCGCTGTTAAGTATCTCCTCATCTGAGTCGACGGATCGGGACCAGGAGCCCCGGGACTGGCTCGCGGAGGCCTTCTTCCTGATCTTCCTGGTGTTCTTCTCCTCCAGCCTGTGCGCGATGATGCAGTAGCACATCGAGCCAAGGGTGGTGAGCATGATCACGGTGCCGATGGCCATGGTGCACCAGGCCAGCCACCAGTCGTCGCGCCCCACCACCACATAGGTCAGCGCGATGAAGGCCACCGAGATGAAGAGGCACGCCAGCCACATCAGCTTGTTCATCACGAACACCATCCTCTTCTTTGCTCTCCGCTCCACGACGATCAGCGAGGTCTGCACGACGACCACCGCGAGCGAGATGAAGAGGGCCAGGGCGTCGAAGACCAGGAAGATTATGAAGGCCGGGTTGCTCGCCACGTACGCCTGCCCCAGGGACATGCCAGGGGGCGCCTGGCTCAGATCCTCCACGAAGTTTCCGGGGACCGTGAATATGGCGGAAAAGGCGACCGTGGCGATAAGCACCGCGACCACGGTGTTGGAGTTGATGGCGTTGTTCAGCCCACCGATGTGGAGCTTTTCGAGCCTCTTCTTGATTTGATTGACTTGCATCTTGGTCTGACATGTTTGCTTGATCTGGGACTGGACATCATGTCTAATATCGCTGACTGTTTGCTTCAGTTGCTTCGCTGAATTTGGAGGATGTACTTGCTGTTTTGCAGTTTCGCCACCAGCCTCTTTTAGGATGTTAACAAGTTCTTCATTGTTCATTTTCTCAGCAATGGCAAATGCAGCCTCTCCAGATCTGTTAACTGCATTGACATCAATCCCCTCGACTGATAATAGAGTCTGCACTATCTGTAAGGAATTACAGTCATAGATAAGCATTAGGAAAGCCAAAACTATAATAGGTAAAAGTAGAGTTCTTAAAAGTGTACTCCTATGTAGAGCTAGCAGAACTCTTGCAAAAACTGCTAACATCCCCACTCTTTTGATTAAATTGTAAGGAAATATGCCTTTTTTCTTTTTTTAATTCTACGTGCTGGTACATGAATTTTTCTTGTTGTTTGTTGTCTGAATGAGACATCTTAAGCAGAGTAATGCATTGTAAGGATGCAAATGATGGAGAAAATTATAAAACTAAAAGAAGGTAAAACAATAAAAGGACATTCCAATATGTGATCACCTACAATGATATTCCCCTTCCAAGTAGCAACATGCAAAGGCCTGTTTCCCTTGTTGTCTTCAATATGGATGACTGAGACATCAGGCTTCAACAATTCAACCACGATTTCAGCATTCTGTCCTTTTGAAGCCATATGTAGTGCTGTTTGTCCCTTCTTGTCTGTTCTTAAACCAATCCCAGGATCTTTATTCAACAATGATCTTACAACTTCCAGATGTCCCATTCTTGCTGCTGAATGTAAAACCGTTTTGCCATTGTTTCTCGTGATTCTGGCAAGGCTAGCATCAGTTTCCAGTAGGAGATTGACAATTTCAACATGACCCTGAATTGCAGCGGTGTCCAGAGCTGTAGCATTCACAGAATTTGCTGTCATAGCAAGAGCAGGAAGAGCATGCAGCATCTCCTTCAGAACCTCTGCAAAATAACCAAGAAATGGGAGAAGACTATTACTAGCCTTGAAAGCGTTGGAAAGATTGCAAATTTGCAACTCACTGTGCCGTAACATGGGTTCCATGGCAGAGAACAGAGTGGGATAAGATCAGCTAAACCAATAGTCACATCATCAACATGCACAAAAGCAATACTAGCAACTCAGTATAGATCACATTATAAATTTCTATTGGAGAACAGACCCAGGGGAAAAAACAAAAAAAGGATTGGCGTTTTTTTTCTCAGCCAATATGGAAAACAAAGATAGTGAAGGTAAAATTGATGTTATGACTTGTGACTGCTTTACTGATGCTGTGGATCCAACAAAAACTGTTGAATAAATCATTCTTCAAATGAACGCATGCATTTTTTTTTAGTGATTCAGATCAGCACAATCACGTTCCTAATACTAGACAATCACATGTATAAAAAGTTCAATAGTCAACAAAGCAGTTTCAACAGACCAAATTCTAACCCCATTCCATAAACCCCTAATCATCAATTCATTGACTATAAGGCATTTTTTTTAAAAAAAAAAGGCTGAACAGATTACAGAGCAGAACTCTGACGATAAGCAAAAGAAGACGAACAATTTACCAAGATGGCCCTGTTTGGCGGCGATGTGGAACGCATCGAAGCTATTGCTGGCCTTGATGCCGGCCGTCTGCACATCAGAGACCTTGAGGATCTCGCGCACGACCTCGGCGTGCCCCTTCTCGGCGGCGACGTACAGCGGCGTCTCGCCGTCCTGGTTCTGCCTGGCCGCCATCTCGGCGGCCAGCGCGCGGTTGAGCTCCGCGAGGATCCTCTGCGCGTGGGCCACGCTCCCGGACCTCGCCGCGAGGTGGAGCGGCGTGTCGCCGCGTTTCCCCGGGCTGTCCCTGCTCCGCCGCTCCAGGGACATGATCCCCCGGAAGCTCTTCTGCTTCTCCATCCCTCGGAAGCTCTTGAGCTTCTCCAGCGCGCCCAGCCGGATGCTGGACTGCCGCTCCATGGCCGAATCCGAGGGGTACTAGATGGAACGCTTCAGATTGCCACGCCTCGTTCTTCGAATCCAGGAAACCTTTTGCTCACCAAACTTTCTGTGACGCCTCAACGAACTCCAGAAAATCGCAACTTGGGCCTGATATTTGCGAAAGAAAATCAACAGCATTAATGCCCCTGAAGTCCTGAACCAAGAACAGACAGGAAATCTCAAATGGGCACGGAGACAGGAAATCTCAAATGCAGAAAATCGAAAAGAAAAAAAAATCGGGAATATTGCAGAAAGCAGAATCCGTTCCCCCTGAAGGTCTGAACCAAGAACAGGCCAGAAAGCTCGAGAATGCAAGAAGCCAAAGAAAGGTTAGTCGAATGATTGTTCCGAGAATCCCCACCCAAAACCTCACCTTTTCTCGCACCAGCCAGGCGCCACCACAACGCCCCACCCGGTGAGAGCCACCCGGACCCGGTGAGGAACGAATGGGGGGACAAAAACAAGGTCCTGGTGCAGATATTGGTCGGAGTAAGGACGAAAACGGACGGAACTACCTCCGTCGTTTTCGTTTTTATATTTTTTTACGAAAACAGAAACAGGAGCGGAACAGCCAGGAGCGAAATAAGTAGTAGAATAAACAGTAATACAAAAATACGATAAAAAAATGACGGTAAACGAGAACTTAAGTCGGAATTGCATGTGCATGTGACATCTCTGTTTGAGGAGATTTTGTTCTAAAGTTCTCAATTGTATGGATATATTTATATGTGCAACTCGGAATTTAATCTTTAAATGAAAAGGTTGTGTGTGCTTACAAGAAGCTAATAATCAACCTGTTCGCTTGGTTGGTTTTTAGGCTGAAAAGATCGATTAATACTGATTTATTGTGAGAGAAAAACAATGTTGGCTTGATTTCGGTGAAGACTTATCCATCAACAAACAGTGTTTTTGATACCGCTCCCGGTTCACCCCATCCCGTTTTCATTTATCATGGAAAAAACGAAAATGGACGGAAAAAACGGTATACGGCTGCGGACGGAACGGGATTCATCCCGTGCGTTTTCATCTTTGGGTCGGAGCTCGCCTGCTAGGCGCTAGCTTGCTTTTCTTGGTTTGGCCCTCTCTTTCGTAGAGCTCACTTTCAGGTTTTGCCACTTCTGCGGTTCTGCCTCGCCGCCGCTGATGAGAGAAGACGGTCGAACAAATACGCCAATTGCCACCCTGATCTCTCAAGTTGGTACGGTTTGGCCGTTTTTTTTTTGTGGGAGTAAAATATCGTGCAACATGGCAGGCTTCGATTGGCTGCAATTTTCCTTTCCCGTTAATGTTGGTTTGTGGTTGTTCTCTGAGAAAAAGTCTGGTTTGTGGTGGCTTTATCACCAGCAGCTCAATCAGTGAAAGGGCCAATAATGAAAAACAAAACAGCTATACAAAATCAAAACTATATGACAACACTCTTTTTCATGTACTGTATCAAAGAACAGTAGAAAGTAGAAATGTTCCAACTAAATTGTAAATTGACAGGTGTACTTGGCCCTTAAATAAGGAAATGTTTAAAACTAATGGAAGTTCAGCTATCTCACAATGTTGTAATAGTATGGTTTGGCCAACTCGCATTTCCTCTGAAGATTAGGTGTTCTTTGGTAACTCTTTACAATTAGGCTGTAAAGCCTGTAACTAACAGCCCTAGTAAGCAATACACGACCAGCTCATGTTTGTGCAAGAGATGGTTTTTTAACCCATGAGCTGTGACAGCTCCTGTTTACTACTACTAGTACACATGGACTTGGTCAGCAAAACACTACTGCACCCAATATGCTTATAGTATGTATATCATTAACAGAAACAGAAACAAAACTTAGTGGGTGCTAGTCGTCTCCACCCTTTAATCTCGGCTTTATTCTAAAACCCAACAAAGACGTTGCCGGCCGGCCGTCACATTCACCTGTAAAAAAGGTAAAGGCAGATAAACAAACTCCCACTAAAAAAACAGAAATCACCATACCTTACACGTGACGCCAATCCAGTACAGTATTGGTTAGCAGCATTATATATCCTGGGCCCACTTGTCATCGTGGAGCGGTACAGTAAATTTATGCCCTGGATTTTCGGGCCCCACGTGTGGGCTCCTGCAGCCGAAAGCCTCCAAGCCATGATCACTTGGGAAGGAGCTAGGAAGAAGAACATGGACATGGTTGTGGTTTCATGGGGGAGAAGAGTACAAGAATGCATGTGGCTTCTGTCTCCTTTCATTTGGCATCACCCAAAAACTATGTATACAAAGCAAGTGCTCATGATTTGAGGTTGTATAAATACTCATCTTTAGGGGTACAATGTAGAATGTAGAGAGGAAACAAAACAAAGATAAACACACCACTCAAGTACTGCTAATCTTTTTTTTTAATTCCTAGGACCGAGATAGAGAGGAAACCCAAGCACCTAGATAAGATATTACTGCATGTATTTGTATATAAGAATAAGAGCTAGCAATAATCTTGGTATTAATGAGCAAGGAAGGGAATGTACCTTTCTGTCCCGGATTGAAATTTATTGGCGGTGTGACAAATCACAAATATACCTCGAAGGAGCATGTTAAATAAATAATTAAATACAGGCCGCATCATGCGGCGTTGTCCCCCTGTTCAGTTGAGAGCACCTAACCCGGCCTCTTTTGTGTAAGCAAAGTGACAGGGGTCATGATGCGCAGAGATTAGATTAGATTAGATTAGCAGCAACAGCATGCACCTAATGCCACTCTGCAATAAAATTCTTTAAGGACGCCTGGCTCCTGCCTGCCTGCGCCCCATGAGCAGCATGAGTATAGACTATCGTAGTCGTAGCAGCATTCAGAGACGTGAGAGAGGCCGAAAGCAGTTAACCAGAGGCACACGTGGGGCTAGGGGCCCACCTCGTGGTGATCATGGATGGTAGTGACATGCATGGTCTCTAAGATTAAGATAACAGTGTTTATATGTCTTGGATAACCATGATATTTTTCTCGTTCACTAGCTCTTGTCTTTTGTTTCTTCACTCCACTAGATCCGCTTCCGCTGCCGAGAGTCCTCCCCTCGCGCCGCCGACGCCGCAGGTAGGATCCCCATGCCCTCGACCAGCTGATCCGGCCGTAGCCCAGGAGCAGCATTTATGACAGAGCAAGAGGGCAGCAGCGCACCTCGACGCGTTCGCTGCCGCCCCGACCGCCCGTCCTAGCCCGGATCCGGGGTCTTGCCCTCTCCGACGAGATGTAGAGCCCGCCGGTGGAGGCACAAGAGGTGGATCGTCGTGATCCGACGCGAAGAAGGCCGCGACGTAGTCCGTTGCCGCGGAACCCCATCGACGACCGCCGCCGTCCATCTCTCGCACGAGAGCTGCCGCTGCCCCGGAGGGGGCTCCTCACGCCCGCGTCGTCAACAGCTAAGGGGATCTCCGACGTCCAAGCCGCCGGCAGCTGCTGCACCGAGGGGATCTCCGACGTCCACGTCGCCACCATCCCAAGGGGTAGCTACTGTGGCCACAGTTAGGGAACGGGGCCTGCAACTGGATCCAGTGCCGCCTCCTTCGCGGTGCGTCGTCTCGACGGTCCCGTGAGGCTCTCCACCGCCTGCTGTGCCTCCAGGTCCTCTACCGGCCGGCCGCTGCCTCCAGGAGTTTGCCGCCGGCATGTGAGGAGTCATGTCGTCTTCACCGTTGCACAACTCATCGTCAGGCTACGATGTGCAGCCGTCGTCACCGTCGTCCAAGTCAAGAAAGGATCATGGAGAGAGTCACCCTTCGCACAGCTCATCGTCGGGCTATGATGTGCAGGCATCGCCACCACCGTCCAAGTCAAGAAAGGATCGTAGCCTTGCCTTAAAATCATGGGCTCGTGGAAGATGCTATCGTTGTCTTGCCCGTGATCACCAGGCCAGCTCGTGTCGGGACTCCCGCTGCATTCAATGTCGTCATCCTGGGCATAAAGAGCGACATTGTAGCCTCCGGTCCCCCCCCCAGCTTCACCACGTTTCGGTTCTCCTTCCCAACATAACCATCTTCAAAATGCTCGGAGATGGGGAAGATGTTGTGGCTACATCTCCCCCAAATGGTTGTTGTCGCGATCCGTTGTTGGCTTCGACTAGTCACCATCCTCGATGTGCTGCATGTGGTTGTAATTGTTGTGCTGCACATGGTTCGTCCACCTTGGACCTTCAATCTTTGTTTGGGCCTCTGATGGAGTTGCTTCGTTCAGATCTCCAGGAGTTCTTCGTATCTCGGCTTGAGGAGGTGGTGCGTCCTTTCAGGGCTGGGCTGAGACATCAACCATCAAGTTATGACTTGCACGGATGGCCAACCATCTTGAACGTGGAGGGCCACCAAGCGAGGACCATTTCATTGCAGACTTGGCAGGTCTTTTTGGTCCTTGTTCCCCAGTTCGGCAATCTTCAACTCCACTATTTTCCACAACAAACCCTATCGCCGATGAGTTGGAGTTTCACATAGTGTTGAACCCTGACAGTAAGGAGGTGGCCACAAGGACAATTGATGCTGAGATTCGCCAAAAGATGCCCTTGGAGCAAGCCACTGAGGGGCCTTCAGTGACATCGTCGGTCCGTGCTTCTCTTGTTGAGGTTTGCACGCCTGCTGACTCCTTGGGGTGTGAGGACCCATGTGTGATTAGTGCAGATTCCATCAATAGCGAGATGACCATAGAGAAGGTTGTTGCGGTGCCCTCGTTGCTACAGACCGTCACCCCTGTTGAGGATATTGTTCTGGTGGAGGATGCGTCTGATGATGAGGAAGCTATCTCACAAGTGACAATTGAGGACCCCATCTTTCTCATCACCATTGAAGACAACCCTATGCACTCTATGACCGACGTCAAGGAAGAGGTCTTCACCATTGAAGACAACCCTTTGCATTATACGACCGAGGTCAACGATGAAGTGCCCAGGTCGATAAAGGATTCATCAATTAATGCAACATCTTCTTCAATGGCCACAGCTATGGAGGAGAACGATCCGACATGTCCCTCTATACACCCA